CAGGCGGTTTCGCGCATCCCAGTCAGTTATTTCTACTTTTTTTATCAATGTTTTCCCCATCTTACTCTACTGTTCCCCGGTTATTTTTCCTGGTTTATTCAAACAGGATTTCGAAGTCTTACGTCGCGGTCTAATCATTATTAGTCGTGTCTCTTCCATTCCTATGAATGAATTAACTGTAAAGCTTTCAGAGTATCACGTAACTTCCTGTGTGAAATTTGCTGAGAGGATTCTCACAGATCCGGATCACCCATTGCATGCAGAACTGACACTTAGTCATTCCCATCATTCAACACGCTCCCAATTCCGCCAAATATAATCTTGAATTAGTGCATATCGCGATTCACCCATACCGTATCTTGCTCGTCTACTCACAAACAAAGAGCGAACAATAAGTCAACTTTGTTTTAACCTTGGATTATGAATATCCCCATACCTGTGAAAAATTTTCTCCCCGTTGATTATGTACATTGTGACGGTTAGCATGTATGATTTTTTTAACTGAAATGTGAGCTCCACCGCTTGCAAAAGTTATACACAATACAATACAATACAAAATCGGTGGTCAATTAATGGGGTGCGACAGCTATTGTGATGGGGTATGAGGAGTTTTGATGAAAAGCTGCCTTTTATTTGCAGTTGATGGTTCCCCATTTTTATTTTACTGTCCCCCTCGATGTTTCAAAAGTGATGCCCGAAAGGGGCACCCAGAGGACTCCCTGGAGAATCCTTTTGGTACACTCAGGGGGATACTCGTACGGCTCGGGTTAATAGAAGAGATTTGAACTGCAATTTCTTCAACCACAACTAGCATCACATTAGCAGCCAATGCAGCTATTTTTAATGACGATTCGCGATTGCGTAATCATTCGGTGAGCGAATTCACGGGCTTGCGCAGCTCGCACAGGAGCCAATAGAAATCAGTGTGATTATAATCAAAATGATCAGTTGTATGACAGCGATTAGGGCGATGTTCGAACAGAATCGAAATGTGTTAATTTAACAGAATACCGTAATTCACATATGTGATATAGCGCCATAGTGCAAAAACCTCAAAATGGCGTGCAGCAAACAAACAAAAAAGTATAACTCCCAGAAGTTTTTACCCGCTTTTTACCTATATTTTTCGTTCACCCATAGTTATTTTGGCGCCGTATCTGTAAAGATCGGTGGGATATATATATATATATATATCCATGGTGCAACACAGATTATCCATCTAGAACTCCAGACCCAAGCGTTGCGAGCGGAACAAAACAAGCTAACAATTCAGTCGTTTGCTCACCCATTCACAAATGGCAAATGATTTACAACGTTTGGTGGTATTGTTTGGGGGAGCTACACCCAAAATGCACTGAAGATATTGCCTGCCCCTGGCTACGAAACTTCTACCAACAACACTTACAGCTCGGAAAACACACTAATATCGACATCCGAATCCCGAACTACAACCATTCCACATTATTTCTAACGCCTTTGTTCACTTCTTCTTGATGCATGTTCCCTGGGATATTATTATCGATGAATATGGTTTGACACTAGGATACATACTGTGTTTGGCTCAATCAATTTAGATGGTGAATGTTTGGATTAGCCCATTCGGTTTTTCGGACACCAGGCACTGTCGATGATGTTTGATGTGGGTTTCACTCCTTGAGAGATCGTTAATTCACCACTGTTTGTTTGCATTTTTGTGCGGTGGAAATGTTTGTGATAACCAACAAAGAGCACTGGACAGCTGTTTCGTCTTGTTTGGGACTCGTCAGCAGGGCGTACTTTTTGTGTCCCTGTCAGGACTAGAACCGCGATTCTTCGGGCTGGGACTTCAAGCCCT